CTAAGCCTTTTGAGGCATCACAAAATGCATGCAGTACATGTTAATGTGTTTGATGCACTGCATATTTGCAGCACAGAGACAAAATTAGATACCAGGAAATCCTGGTATCTAAAAAAAAATGCTCCAAAAAAAGCAGCACAGCAGCAGCAGCACGCAATCTTTTGTGGATTGCTGCTACTGCAACCCTGGGAGGCCCCCAGGACCCTAGGTAAGGCTGTTGGCACCAGCCCAGTTGCTGGACCCAGCCTCACTTACCCCACCTGGGGCAATTTGCTGTGCACCACAGCATATATGCAGGAGTATGTCCAGGGACAAGTAGCAGAAGCACACATATATGCCACTGCTATTTGTACCTAGGGAAATGCATGTGCATGCTCTTGGGGACATGCCCAAAGGGAGCAGTTGAGTCCAGAGGGTAGGGAGGGAGCTGTCCCAGAGCAGAGGACATCTCCCAGCCATGTGGAGTTAGGGATCACAGCCTGGCTCATGTATATACGCATACATGCTCACACAGTTCTGTGAGATCTCAATTGTAATGTTTTAGTGCTGAACTGCCACAATTATCAAGAGGGAAATTAGCCCAAACCTTAGAACTGAATATTCTCTGGGTAAAAATTCTTTTCTGAAACTCAGAAAAGCCCCATCTGTCTTATGACTTAAACCAAATCCTCAGTAACCCCAATTCTTTGGAGTGTTTAGGGACTTGTTCTCTGTCTAGCTTTCAACTTTTTTGTAGAATGGGATCATCTTCCAACTAGATAATATTTTAACTAGTGTTTTGAAGTGGTAGCTGATTATTCATCGGGAGTGTCACATGTGCATTAATGTGCTGTTGCTACTGCACATTAAATTTAGTACCCCTAACGGGAGGTACTAACTAAATGTGCAGTAACTTGTGCAACTGTGCAGTAGAAAAGGCACATGGTCTTTTTGTGATGCTTAATGCACAGCAGACTAATTCTACTATGCATTAGTGCATTAGCAAAGTTTTTGCTGTGCCATGCTAATGCAGAGTAGAATTAGTTTACTGTGCATTAAGCGTCTCATGTAGATGTACCTACTGTCATCTATAATGTCCTGATTAGCTTTGTACATAAATATTCCTTGGTAATCAGCTCAGACCAAGGCCCTAGGCCCAGCTGGTCTTAATTGAGTGATCAGAGCAACCAATCCCCTGGGGCTCCAGTAAACGGTCCCACCCACTCCAGCCTTTAGAAGAAAGCTGGAGGCAACAGTAGCATGTCTGGGCAAAGACATCCTTGTTCCAGACCCCTCCACAGTTCCTTGACATGACTTAACTGGAACTTCAACTCTAACTCCAGGCTCCCTGGACTTTGTCTGATTAACCAGGTGACTTCCTCTAACTGCCCATGCCCCGGTCCCTAACACCTTGCCTCCTCTGTTTCTCTTGTTGGCATTTGCCAAAAAGGCTGGATCGCTGTGTCCGGCTCCAACTCTCTAGAGTGGGGCAGGATTAAAAAGAAACCCCAGGGGAGCTCTCCAGAATGACAGCTCACTAGAGATGGCTGCAAGTTGGAAAAGGAGGCAAAAACTAATGTGACGCTAGTGGGTGCCTGTGCCTGTGCATTGAGGCTGCTCCAGTATGCTGTAATTACAAGGCATTGGAGCAGACTTGATTAATCGAGTCTGCTGGAGTGTGGTAATTACTGTGCCCCAGCAGACTTCAGTGTCATATATATCAGTGTCCCCATGCTGAAAGATGGCGGCAGGAGTGCTTTAACTAAAGCTTATGGAACGAGCTTTAGTTTAAGTGCCCCCACTGCCATTTTTCAGCACTGGGATGCATTTATACATGTGCTCCAGAAGGAGGGGGTGCGGGGGGAGGACACTTTTGAGCTGCTCTTATTAAAGTGCCCAGAGCGTTATGTGTGTCAGCATTTCTGTACTAAAACATGGCGGCAGGGGTGCTTTAAAATGCCCCCACTGCCATTTTTCAGTGTGGGGATGCTGATACACATGGCGCTGGAGTCTGCTGGAACGTGGTAATTACCGTGCTTTAGCAGCCTTGATGCAAATGTATAGGTGCCCTCGGAGCTGCTCTAATTAAAGCGTCCCCCCCACCGCCTCCCAGACATGTGTATAAACACCCAATGTGCCAAATCCTGGGAAGTACTGAGTAGTAGTACCTTTCAAGATTTGGCCCCAGTATGTTTGTTGGTCATGTCAGGGAGCAGTAGGGAGAGGAAGGGGAATTGCTTTGGAGTGGGAATAAAAGGCTGAGGGCCAACTGGGCTACAGAAGCCACATTCTTTTCTGACACCTTCGAGCTCTGGCAGAAGCCAGTAGGTTGGCTGAGCTTGAGTATCTTCAACTCTCAGCCGGCCTCTCCCAATTCCCAGAGTTACAGCTTCTGTCCCAAGTCTCTGGGCAGGGGATGAGGTCATGGCACAGTAACTCCAAGGCAGTGATAGGAGAAGACCAGGTGATGAAATCCAGGTCTGAAAACCATCTGATTTCATCCGGATTTCTTGATCTAGACACTGAGTTTAAAAACTAAATCTCATCTATTTTATTTGGCATTACGTTTTTAATAGCAATAGCACCAAAGTGCAAGCATCCCCTTACCTTTGTGGAGCAGAGCTGTGGCTATGCATGCAAATGGGACTCTACCCTAATGATGACTGTCAGAACATCCTGGTTTTGTTTATTGCTGCTCTTTGTAGTTATTACTCGTATTACCCCAATGCCTAAGGATCCTAATTATTGAGTGGGATCCCATTGTGCTAGGTGCTGATGTGTTAAAACAGAAACACTACAGTATTTCTATACTCCTCCTTTCTTTGGCCCCTTTTTACCTCAATCAAGAAATCCAAAGAATAATTTTTCAACATGCTTTCTGAAATGGGGGCATCAGAACTGCACTAAATATTTTATAGTTATTGCTGCAGTTCCAAACATGGAGGTAACATATCCTTCCTACTCCTACTTGTGACTCTCCTGTTTATTCATCCAAAGATGGCATTAGACCTCCTGACCACTGTTCACATTAAGAGCTCACACTGGTAATTTCTGTTTTGACCTGCATGTTATTTTCAGACTTACAGCTGCCCAGGTTAGAGTCCCCAGCCGTGTAAACAAATAGGCACTCTCATACATATGTTTCCAGATGTATGGCAGCACAATTGACCATATTGAAAACGGCATATTTGCATTGCACTCAAGATACCAAGTGAGGCAGGTTACTTTGTATCAGGGACTTGTCCTCCTCACTGTTTACTTCTCTCCAATTTTTGCCATTTGTCAAGTTGACTGATAAAAGTATTTAACAGGGCAAGACAAAAACTGATCCTTGCAGGACCGTTCTGGCTCAGTGGTGATTCTCTGGCTACATTCTGAAATGCATGAGTCAACCAGTTTTTAATCCATGTCATATATAACATGTGGTTTTTATGTCATTCTCGTTTCTGAGTCAAGGTGCCATGTGCTACTGAATCAAATGACTTGTAAAAGCCTAGTCCTTTATCAATTAAACTTGTAATATCCTAAAATATTTTTGCTAGTTTGATAAAAACTATATTCAGTGAACCCATATTGATGACATTGATTACGTTAGTCTGTTTAGATGTTTATTAATTTTGTGGTGTGCTTAATTATGACTATGAATTGTGTTCCATTGTTTTGCCTAGGATTGGAATCAAGCTGACAAGTCTAGAAGAACTCAGGTCATTTTGTTTAGTCTTAAACAGCATTTACTTGCATCCTATCATTTGGAAATTCCCCAGTGTTCCAAGAGTTGTTAAAAGTTTCTAGAGCTTCTTGGGCTGCTCTTTTAAAATTAAATATAAAATAGGTTCAAATTAAATTCTTGTTATTGTCTCTCAGTGACTGGATAAAACGTCTTCATATAATAAGAAAAAAATTATTAAGATTTTTTCCCCTCCATTAGCTCCCTGTGAAGTTGGCCAGGGGAGCTCAGAGTCAAGCTGAACTCTGCTTCTCCATCCATTGTCATCAGCAGTAAAGATGCTTAAAGTCAAATCTGGCCCTCCTTAACCTGTACTTATAAAACACCTTTGTCTTTAGATCCCACCCTCAGTGTCATGTGTATAACAATTGCCTTCAGCTGATTGCACAGGCCTAATTGCTTGGTCCTTTGTCTGAAACTTAGCAAACAATTCTGTTGCTGATGCACAAGAAAGAAGAGAATGAATCTCTCCTCCCCTTCCACACCCCCC